GCTGTTATGTATTTCATGGGAAGGTGTAGTTAATCAGTAGCTCTCCAACCTGCTCCAATAGCCCCATGGGTCCTCCAGGCCCAGTGCTATATAGGAAAATGGAACAATTTCACATCTGCATCTGCACAAAATCTTTCCAAAACTAAACAAGTAAATGGCACTCTTTACCATGCTTTACTCTTTATTCATTTGATGAACTCAGAGTTTCTCAAAAAAGTGTCCACCCCTGTAAGGTATTTTTTCCATCTCTACTGTGTGAGTTAAATGGTATCCTAGCATCTAAACAGTACATAAATGTAATGTATGCAGCAGAGGAGAGTAAACTTATTCTGAAATTAATATAAGAAATAATAAAACATAGCTTGAAAGTGGTATGGTTCCTTCTGCTAACACTGAGATCACATTAAGTTTCATGACAAATTATCTGCTCTGCCATGAAGTGGAAACAAATGTTAGCTGGAACACACCTTTCACCTTTCAACCTAGACCAAATAATGCAAAAGCTTTGATCCCTAAACTGAAGCCAGCTGCTTTTCTTGGTCATACAGCAGGTACACACGATACTTGAGTGCATTTGCAGCATGAAAGGCATTTTCAGTGGTCTGTAATGAGTAGAGTTGTGCAGACAGCACATTTCCAGGTGTTTTATCACAGAACACTGGAGAAACCAGAGTATATTCCATATTGGGAGAGTTCAGGCATCTCCCCTGTGTTCGCTGCTCCCGCAAAACCAGCAGTACCCGGCCCAAACTTGGCAATGCTTTCAGCAACACATGCTTATGCTTTTGGCAGAAGGGAGCTGACCACTTGCAGCATCAGTGTCCTTTGCCAGCTGGCCAAAGAGCACACAGATGCAAGGGAAGCAAATTATCTGCCCACTGGCAAAAAGAAATGCTGAACAGCACCTAAAGGAAACGTGGGCCTGCGCACGTGCGCTCAGTGCGAGCGAGGGTGCTTGTGAGCACACACACCCCCACACCTGTGCCTCGGGAGAGGGAGCAGCTCGGTGGAACTGCAAAAACTGTCTGCTACTAGTCCTGAGGTATCATTTTCTGCAACACTCTCACAACAATGAACATGCACTTTTCCCATTAAAATCTCCCAAGCTGAATTTTTAGGATTAAACACAAGGACTGCAAGGATGCTAAAGCAAATTTTTACAAGTCTGAAATCAGACCCCTTCAAGAAAGTGCCAATACAACCACCTACAGGATTTTAGCAACCTAAGGTTAGCATGTCTTTGCATCTTCCCTCTTTTTTTTTTGTCTCTTGAAAAATGAAAGCTCATGAAAAAAAAACCAAACCACTACATATGTATATTTGGTAAAATACAAAAAGCTTTCTGGATTTAGAAGATACATAAGAAAAAAACTCAGAAAAACTAATGGTACAAGAATTTGCAGCTGATAGGTTAGATTTAGCTAAGAGATGGAATCTATCTGTAGATTAATTAGATTCTACAATCACAGCCCCTTTTCATCTGCACACATCCCACCACTGTCATTACATGATCAACAGATTTTAATGAAAACTATGCTTTTCATTAAAAAAATGCTTTGAGAAATTCAAGGGAGAATATACATAAGGTTTAGTTTACTTTTCTATATATTTCTTGAAAATTGTACATAAGGCAAGTGCACATTTGTTGGCTGTAAAGGTGTACAACAGCAATTTTTTGCAATGACAGTGCAGAGAGGGAATATGAGATCTGTGTGCTAATGAGCTGACACTGCAGAGGCTGGAGCAGTGTTAGTACAGTGCACTACAAGTGCAGAGCAGAACCACAGACGTGGGTTATTTCTAGGGAATGTGATCTACAGAGCTATACACACAATTCAACATTAACACCAACATCCTTCAGCAGATTATGAGAAATGCATGGGAGATATTGCTTCAGTGACAAATTTATATATTTGAGTTGTCATATTCATATTATTTGAAAAAGCTAGCTCACTCCCTACATGAGCATTTTAAAAGAAAATATAACCTGATTTTGATTTTATAAATTCTTAGGTCAAGTTAGCTTGCTTTCTGTTTCTACTGATAGCAAAAAGCTGCACATTTTAAGAAATGTAATAATTTCCCTAGAGCCAACTGATAAACTTCAATTCACCTTTAAATACACTAGAATTTTCATCTGTGTTTGCATTTGTTCTCTGTTAAGATATCATACAGCTAAATAAATAAGTGGGTAGATAAATACAGTGTGGATAAATACTGTATGAATGTGTGTAAATTAAATATACAGAGAGGCTTGGTGCTAGCAGCAAAGCAGGGAATACATGTACATAAATCAGATTATGCATCATTTAACTGAAAAAGAAATGAGAGGGAGGGGCTTAGGGCAGGAATTTTCTTCTGCTTCTAAACAAGTTTGTTCCCAGGTTGGGATATTGCCAAATCTGCCGTAGCAGAGGTGGGCTATTTTTCTCAGGCTCATGAGAATACTTCAGAAGGTTTTTTTTCTCCTCTGGAATGCACCAGATTGCATCAAACGGGATGTGCAGCTGCACAGTAAGAACCTAAGTCTTTCTGAGCAGAGCCCCTTCAATTCCTGCACACAGGAACACTTACTACAGTCATTATCATACAAATCAATGCAAAAGAGAATGAAAGGTATTACTTTATGGATACTGACTAGTACAGGCACTAGGCTCAGGCTACACATGCTCTTTTCTTCAATTTCCTCTCAGCTCCTGTACCTATCCCACCACAAAGTCAGCCTCAGCCTCCCTCCCCAGTGAAGGCAGAGTCACTGCAGGTTTCTCTCCTATGGAACCCTGCCAATTGCAAATATTGATCAAACGGCTGTGTGACAGCTCTGGAGACAATATATGCTTATCTCCAAGTGAGGCAAAAATGTTGTGGAAAGAATTCTTTCATGGATATGGCAGCACACTGAAATTATCTGCCACTCCCATAAGAAATGAAGATACAGTTAAAGGCTGGAATTTTGGTTAGGTAGTGTGAGGAGCTATTAATTCATCCTAATGCATTGATACACATTAAGTGTTCTGACTTTCAAAGTTAATTGGTACCAGATTCAAAAGAATAACTGTTCTGATGGGGCTTTTTGTATTTTGAGCTACTGAAGCCTATGACTGGTGACTGAGACTCACTGTATTCTTTTCTTATCAACAGTATTATGAGATGGTTGACACAGTACAGACAAGGTCACCTTTTTCTTTCGTCTGTTTCTTTTTTCACATCTTCTGCTTTAAAATAGGTTACTGTAGGTACATCTTTGGTTTACAGTTTCTCCAGAGATTTAAGTTTTCCCAATTTTACTATACTGGTAATATGGGTGTTGGAACATGCAGCCCTGTACTACAGAAAACCATCCCACTTTACTAAAATTGCCACAGCTTTTAATAAGCATTGACAAAAATCATTAGATGTCAGAAGATGAGTAAAACACTGACTAAATATACTGAACAAGTGTGTGGATCACTTCTGTTGGTGGGGGAAGAGCTGGTAACAACTTTTAAAAAACAATTAATAATTAATCACCCAAGTAGTTCAATGTATTTAGTTTAAATCCATATAATTGATATTTAGGAAACTGCGCTTGAGATGCAGCCCCTTGAAGGGATTACACTGATTAAGGATTAATAGTCTGATGTTTGTTGTAAGAGCTGTTGAAGCTGGATAGGATTAGTAAAATAAGATGCAAAGTAGAGACATGCTTTTATTTACGATTTTTTCCCACTTTACCAAGTATTTTTATTGTATATTACATCATTAACCCCCCTACAAATGTTTTAAAGGTTCTGCTTCAAAGTCCTTTGGAGAGTGTAACACTGCACTACCAAGAAGCAGTCACATGGGGGATATGTTAGAATATCAATCCAAAATTTGCCCAAGTATTTCCTTACTGTATATTTTTTAACCATCAACTTTCTCAGAATATACAGTGGGACAGGAATGTAAGAACTATCCTATCTCCTGCAAATAAAAAAATAAATAAGTTATTCAAAACACGTAATTGTTTTAAGGCAAAAAATGCTATTTTTCTGTACTTGAGCACTTCATTATTTCAGTACAATGCTTCCTCTTTGACCATTTTACACCGCGAGTATAAACGTGCAAACTGTGAGAGGAAACCTGTTCATAACGTGAAGTTAGTACACTGCATTCAGCGGTCCATTAGATCATGTGCAGACATGTATCTTCCCATTGCAAAGTGCATTAGTTACCTTGGAAGAGGACTCCTTTCATTTTCAGTAACTTACAATAAAACTTGTATAGAATCGAACTTGGATACATCAGTAAAACAAATATCCAGGAACTACTATTGGTAAATGAATGCTTTTTAAAATGCAGAACACGCACAAGTCTCTCTGTAAGAGATTTTGCATCTTAACACCACACATCAGCAATACTCAAAGTTCTATTTTCATCTTCTGTTAATAAAAGCTCAAATTGTATGCGTGCACTGCTTGTGCAGAGCTATTGCTCCTAACGCCAAGTGTTCTGATTCCATTTTCTCTCCCCTCAGCTCTAACAGTATGTGTCAGTTTACAGTCTCCTCAGCTTTGCACAGGACTCTCACTGTAAGAAAACAACTCAGTATTTCAAGGCAGACGAGGCAAGTAAGCCCCTCTAGCCTCTCCCTCTCAAGGTCACTTCTAAGCAGCGGTTTCTGGTTTTTCCCTACATAGTATATTATTTGCAAATTATGCCTTTTCACACAGCTAGGTTGTAGCCTCAACAGAAAAGGGATGTTTTTCATCAGCAATTCACTGATTGCAGCTACACAGCACTGCTATATCAACAACATGGTTGTTTTCCTGAAAAACAAAACTGAGGGGATGAGGTGGTGAGAGAACTTTTCCTAAGGTATTCCATACAATGCTGCAAATCTACTAAACCTCCAGTCACTACACACATTTGTTGCACTATATTTATTGTATGACCAAGAACTCTAGGCTACCAGGAAGGAACTGAATGCAGGATAGATAACAAATTAATATATTTTTTAAAACCAGGTCTTTACTTACAAGCATTTGTCACTGAAAAACTGTTGGAAGAGTCCAAGTGATCTACGTGATAGTTCAAATGGAAGGGCTTTTCTGTGGTATTTTGGTTTGTGTTGTATAGCTGCACAGCAAATCGAAATGCACTGTGCTCCTGAACCGTGTTCCTCATGAAAAGTCCACCTAGGTGAGGAGAAAAAAATAAAAAGGAAAAGAGGAAAAAGGATTTCAGAATTAATTTTGAAGAGAAACAATGGCAATAAGTTATATTTGCCTGCTGCACACTGCAGGGGAGAATGAACAGGAGCAGCCTGAACGTGAGCACATAACTCTGACAGAGCACTGACATGAAATACATATTCCAAGTCCAAAGTTAGGCTTTTAAAGCCACACACCACATCCAGGTGCCCCCTGAGCAATGAGTCGCTTGGAGCTGCAGGTGCACCTTGAAAACCAGGCCACTTCTACACGGATGCCCACACAGAGATTTAAAAGTCTAACTTGGGGAACCGTGGCTCCTAAATCTTGTCCAGACTACCAAAATATCGGCACTGTAGTTATGTGCGGGGACACGGCGGCGTGCGGCGTGGCAAACGTGCGGTTTCACGGTCTGGTGGAGCGATAGCGCGGCCGAGGGAAACGATGCTCCGAGGGACGGCAGGGAACAGCCCCCGCTTCACTCGCTGCCCTGAGCCTCACGGCTCGCTCGGCCCCGGCTTTCGGGCACGTCGCTACAGATTCACGCCACGACTCTCTCACATTATGTGCTCCACGGGATGCGCTGCTCCAGGGCACGGTTCCGCAGAGCGCGGACCCGATCCCCGCCGCTCGGAGGGGTGCGGGCAGCCCCGCGCCGCTCGCAGCCGCCCGCCGGCACAGCCCAGGCACCGCCGCTGCCTCTCGCCCCCAGAAAGGGGAACGAAGCGGAGCAGGGCTGGCTCCTTCCCCGCTGCGCCCGGGCTCGTCCCCCGCTCCCCTCCTCACAACTTCCCCCCGGCTGGCGGGGAAGGCGCGGGTCGCGGTGCCGCGGCGGGCGCTTACCTATACTGATGGTGTTGGGGAACCCCGCCAGAGCCTCCCCCAGCAGCCCCGCCAGCAGCAGCAGGAGGGTCCGGGGCGCGCTCTGCCCCATTTTCTTCAGCCCCTGCGGTTCAGCCCCTAAACCGAAAGTGGCGGCACAGGCATGGGCGCAACTGGAGACTCGGAGCGGTATCAACGGTGGTGGCGATGCTGGCGGAGGTGGTGGGGAGGATGGTCCCCCTCCTTTCGTCTCTTTTTTTTTATTCTTTCCTTCCCCAAATCCCTCTGCTCTCGTCTTCACCCCAGTCTAGCAGGGCTCATTGGCTGCGAGATTGCCTTTCTCCCCCGTCGCCAGCAGCCCCCCCCAACGCAGGGACTTCCCCCAAAGATGGTGGGTAGCGGAGCCGCCGAGGCTGCTCCGCCCGGGCCGGGAGGGGGTTATCGATCAAACTTGGCGTGAGGCGGGCTGGCAGCCGCTCCGCTCCGCTCGGCCCGCCCGCCCAGCCCCGGCGGCTCCGGCCGCGGCTCAGCGCTCGGGGCTGCGGTCGGCGGGAGCGCACCGGCCTCACGTGGGGCGGCCCCCGGGCTGCAGCTGCCCCTTTAAAGCTGCATCGGCTCGATGTGTGTGTGTGTATGTGAGAGAGAGTGCGGTGCGTGCGCCTGTGGGCGGGCGGGGGAGGGAGCGGGGAAAGGAAGGAGGGGCGGGGAACCGAGCCGAGCCGAGCCGCGCCGGGGCCAGCACAGGAGGCCGGGGTGGTGAGGAGGTGGCCGCGTCCTGCCCGTGCCCGATGCGGGCGCCCCAGAACTTGTGGGCCGGGAGGCAGCAGAGGCGGCTCGGGGCCGGGGGCGGGAGGCCTGGTGATGGCCGGGGCAGGCGGGTGCAGCTGGGCCCCTCCTGAGGGGACAGTGCTGGGGAGAGACGTGAGCGCAGGGGCTGCCGAGGGAGGGCTGGAAGGGGCCACAGCCAGGGATGCCCAGGGACCGTGCGCTCTCCCGAGGGGGCTGCCGGCCCTGCGCCCGAGTTCTCCCAATCCCTCCTCCGGTGCCAGCGCATCAGCAGGGAAGCATCATCCGCCCACAGTGCTGTGAAGTGAAGAAAGACAAGAAGAGTTGAATCCCACACGAGGGAATGTTAGGTCCTTCCCAACCTCCTCTAAAGGAAGGAACTCATACAAAGTCTCCCTGTTTCATCCTTGATGCTGAAAAAGACACAACATGTGTGCCAGCTGACGAGCTGCCCCAGCACCGAGCACACGGCAGGGCCAACCTGGTGGTCGCAGGGGAGCAGGGGGATGGTGGCGGACATCCCGTGTGTCTTGAACACCAGCCCTGAGACGCCCCTCGTATCCACAGGGAGCTGCTGTCCGTCTGCCTGAGTCAGGTTCTCTGTGGTCTTTCACCCATCTCCTTGACACTGCGCTGTATGGATCCTACAGTGCTTTTCTTTTTGCTGCTTTGGGGCTCACAAAACTGTACAAAATAGAGACAGAAAAGCAATACTAGGTAGAGTTGTCCATCTCATAGGCCTAGCAAAGACTGTTCTTCCCTTAATATTTGCTTTTCCTCTGATTTCAGCAGGTCACTTTACCTTTGTGCTGCTCTGCTTCTTTTTTTTTTTATCTTAATCTTAGACTGTGGCATTATTTGGGTCAATGTTCAGATAGGGATAATATGAAATGCAGTTGCCTTTGCATTTGTAAAATAATCAACCAGTGCCACTGGCTGTAGCATCACGTAAGTAGTCAAGGTGTAAGATTGAAGATTGCTGCAGATTACTGCACAAATTCTGATGAAGAACATCCGAGATTCAAACTATTACTTTTGAAGGAAGCCAGAGGTAGAGGTGAAGAGCAGGGCACCACAGTCATGATGCAGGAGTGTAACACATGCTTTTAGTGATATGTGTGACACCTGCTCACTCCAATGTGCATGCATTGGTTGCTTCACGTCGTGTTCCTTTATGGGAATCATTCCCAGAAGATGGAGACTGTTAGAGTTCAGGCAGAGTAGGGGTCAGGCTGCAGGGTGGATGGTAATGTTCCCTATTTAGATTGAGATGGCAGTTGTCACTTTATCTCTCTTTTTAAAGAAATGGTTTTCTGTATGGAGTGGTGGGGTATAAGGTCCATGATTGTATCTATAGTGCTCCTCAAGCTCAAAGCCCTTAACACATATTACCTATGAATTCCTGTAAGCATCACCATGAGGCATGATTGTATTCTTCTTTTACAAATATAAAAATTTAAAAATCAGGGAGAGCCACTGACCCACCGCACCTAACCAGGACGTTTCAGACCCAGAATTAGCATCTTGAGCCTGGCTTTGCTATAGAGCACTCTGCTCACAAATGTCTTTTGGTAAGGACAGCAGATCTGAAAGCTACAGACAGGTACAGGAAGTTTAGACATTAAGGACAGTTGTCAGAAGCGTGTTCCTCTTAGCAAATAATTTCTCTGCCTTGTTCCAAATTACTTACCTTTCCTATTCTACACACCTCCAGCCTATTTCTAATGTATTCTCTACAAAGTCCTGCTGTCCTTTTTTTTTTTTTTTTTTTTTTTTTGGTGCGCTTTGCTAGTGGCCCTACTTTCTTCCTGTTACTTGCTCTTGCAAAGTTCTCTCCATTTCTGCAGCTAAGTATTGCAGGCTGACGGCCACCTGCCACATTGACAGCTGATGGTGCACTGAAAAAATTATGAAAGAAATGATGTATAACATTATAGATGTTAGAACAAGGGAGGAGATAAAGTGAATGAATGAATGTGGCACGTGTCAGAGTCTCAGTTTCACACACTGCCAGCAGGGTGGGTACCTTGTCTCCAATAAAGTGGTGCTTCACAGTCTAATCTACAAATTGACAGTCTTGTGGTGATCCAAAATGTATCTGTGCTGAGAGACAAATTTCCATTATCACCCACATTCTACCTTCTGAAGCCCCTTACATGTTGTAATTATACTCATTAGCATTTGGAATGTGCAGTTTGCTTTTTTTTGCTTATGCATTAGCCTTATGGCATGATTAGCAGGTACAAATGGCACAACAGCCATTTCATATGGATTTTGGAGAAATCCAGAGACCTCATCCCAGTTTATCTTTCTTACAGTGAACCCAGTGTGTCCTGGGACAAAATGGTAGATTACTTGCCTTTATGTGGATATCAATGCCATGGAAATATTTTATACACTTTGCTAGGGATGCTCAGTGACTTGAATTAATGAGTTCTGTGGTAACTGAGGCCATACCAGATGCTTTCCCAAACCTTCCCTTACTAAATACAACAAAGATTTTGCAGGATAATCAAGCTTCATGTTTAGATGATTTATAGTGTTCTGGGACACTGGGGATTCAGAGTGTCTACCTGAGTGGGAGAAGGTAATGATTTATAATTAGCTAATGTGTTTTCATTGTGATGTCTAATAGTGCATTAGAAAAATGCTATGGAATTTGGGACACAGCGTTCTCACTGTGCTTTCTGATGTTAGTAGGCTAAACCCATAGTGTTAGCATAAAGTCATGGCAGAATCTACAGCAGGATTCTGTTGCTGAAACTTCACCCTAACTGCACTAAGCAGACTTTATTACTTTTGTCATTCCTATTTCTAATTGCAAGAGAGAAGCTCAAGGCAGAGAGATTCTAACAAATATTTTGTTTATCCTAGTGGGAACCAAATCATGTCATAATTGCTAATAAATGTATTATCAAATGTGTCTTACACTTTTTTTTTTGTTTGCTTGTTTTAAAGCAGTTATTTCTTCATAAAAGCAATGGACACACAACTAACCAGTCTTTATGTCAATGTCACCATTTTGATTAGCTAAACTGATTAATTCTACAATAGACAGTTAACAGATAGAGTGACAGTGGGGAGAGACAGAAGAGAAGATGAAAAGGGATTCAGGGACAAGATGAAACTACAGATAGAAGGAGTCAAGGGGAAAGTACAGTGTCAAAAGGGAAAATGAATACAGACATTACAGCTTCATTTTGGAAAACAGGTCAAAAGGACATTAGTTAAGATCTGATTATGAGTGGCCATGGAACAAACTATTGAAGCTCTCCTGTTTACCTTTCATTACCAGACAATAACAGAGACATAAAATGAAATTAGAAAGCTGCAGACGAGAGACAGTTTAACAAATATTCTGCTGTGCGGTTTACAGCTAATCTATAAAGCTGTCTTCTACACAATATTCTTGCCAAAATAATTGTTTTTAGAAGTTGGAAATTTTATGTGAATTAGCAGAGTAAATGCATTAGACTATCTAGTAAAACACTGTAGGGATTAATAGTCAGAATTCATTGCAAAAAGATGTTTCTTGCTGCCTCAAGAAAGACTTACTCCTCTTATTCATTATGAGAGTTTACAGTGTCTAAAGTTCTCTGAAAGTTACTTTTTGCTGGTTAGTTTTAGAGACAGGTTCAGAGACTACTTGAATCATTGATTTGTTGTTACTCATTTTTCCAAAGAACAGTTAACAGGGGAAATCCTAAAACCACAGAGATGTATAGTAGGTTTATCACCCCTATCACTGGAGTTAAGATTGTACCAGATACATCCTGGCAGAATAATTGGGTCTGGCACATAAGAATATGTTTTAGTACACGGAAGGATGATCAAGATTTGTATAGGAACAGGGTCAAAGAGGAAACTTGTTCATAAACAAAAGTCATTACTCCATTACTGGAATCTATTTCAACTTTAGGTAGCAGAAGCGAATTAATACAGCAACTTTTATCAGAACTATACATGGACTTTAACTGTAATAACGTATCAATTACAATTGCACAAGTAAGACACAAATGTGGAAACAGTCAGTATGGACAAATATCTTCATATTTCTTGGGTTTGTGGTATCGTCAGGATACATCCTTCTAATTCTAAGAGCTATGGAGCTGTGCTGGAAATATAGTGTTATTATAGTGCCATAATGTCAGAAACAATTTATATTACCTTCTGCTTTCCGATTAACTGTACACTAGGCACTGCTGGCATAACACAACCCTGCAATTCTTACTTAAACCTGTACTTTGCTGTGCTCATCTATATTTATTACATCAGGAAGCAGTAAATCAAATAAAAATGTAGTGGTATCCCCTATATAATATTAATAAAGTGGATACTCTCTTTTTATGTCACACCTATGAATACAGTTTTCAAGAAATCTTGGGCATTATATTCAATTCATACCCATTTCAATTGTGAAACATCTGATGACTGAATATTTAATTGTTGTACATAATTACTGAAATATATTCTTCTCAAAGAGAATCTAGTTTAGATCCAAGTAGTGAATAATCACTTCAGTTGACTGTTTGCCAATCAAAAGTCTGTTTTCCTACCTGTGTGCATTTGTATATTACCAGAATTTATCACATCTCAG